CTTTGTTGTCACCCTCCGCACAAAGGCTGGGTTTTCTTTACTGATGCATAGACCGTAGAACTGAAAAAAGCGGCGTGTGGACTACGATCAGGGCAGTGCTTCACTTTCACAATTAAACAATACGATTACAAGCATGCATCATGGAATCCGCGACATGGGTAACCCGCTGGAAACCGGGAGGATTACGTAGATGGCTAGTAAACAGAAAGGTTTGTGAAGGTAGAGGCCAATGTCATTGCCTCGCCGTGCAGTTCCTTATCTCCACCCAGTTGGTCTCAAGGAAATCCATGAGAATTCTAAGGCAAACTGCACACTCACATACGAGGACGTTTCACACCATGAGCGAGGTAAAAAAATTGGTACGCTGTAGAAGCGTCCCAATTTCTACGTTGGAAAATGGAAAGGAATGGAGAATAAGTAGTGATGTCCGTGTGCCTTATCCATCGTCACCTTGGCCAGCGCTATGCTCAGCGTGCAGCACTTGCACCAAGGTCCTGCAGCGCAGCGCTCATTCAGCGGTAGAGAGCTTTCTTTTCTTGATCTTCTTCACTTTTTTTCCCCGAAATTGCTTTCTAGCGTTGTAACTGTGCAAGCGTGCCTGATTGGTAACTAAGTAGCCGCCATACTACACATCATACGGGAACTGTTTTTATCCATAAAGACACTAAGAATACCAGTTCTGCTTTGCGTCTCACTTTGGTCGCCATCGCCATCTATCACCAAATGAAGTTGTGACTTAATTTCTTCTAATAAAATGTTTTAGAATATGATCTGCGACGACTTTCCCCACAACTACAACCGTTGGCGTTCTTGGTCGGAAAATGGCGGTCAGAGCACGGTGGAAAGGCGATTTTCCCTACGATACCCAAATTCACGTATGGCGAAGAAGTTGACATCAGCATCCCTGATGACGCACTCCAAGCTGCAAAAGCTCTCAATTACACGTACGCTTCTTCTGCATTTTTTTACGTTCGATCATTTCTAGTATGACTATTGTGCGAGCTCCAACTCGATGCAACTATCCTGTCCTATCGAAGTTGCATCTTTGCCATGCAGCTAACAATCATTACTATCAAAGAAAACATTGAAAATATGCTGCATCTCTTGAATATTTTGATAATCGGAGCCAAAGGTTATCGACTTTATTTATCCTTTACAGCCCTAATCACCCGAAATTTGGGCAGTTGTGGACCGACCTTTTCCTTCCCGAGCAAACTTGGCTAAAAATGTGTTATGTGTCCTCTGTGGCTATCTGACCTCCTGAACATGGATATCACATCCACTCGGCAATCTCTTGGCGCCCGCGCCACAGGCGTCGTCGCCAAAATACCTCAAATCACTGGCCCTGTGGAGCGTGCCCCAGGAGGTTTCGGGCCAAGCGGATGTGATATTCGTATTCAGGAGGTCAAACTACCCCAGGAGACAACATTTGAGCCAAATCTGTCCACGGAGAAAAAAGTCGGTCAAAAACTGGCTCATTCCGGATGATTGGGGCAGTAAAGGGTAAACAGTGCTAGGTTACCTTGGCAGGAAAAAGAAAATCAAACGTTCGGCCCTCGGAACTTCCCTTTATTTTCACCGAAACTTAGTGGCATTTCGAATGCAATTCGGCTCACTTGAGAAGGTCGCGTCGCTAGAAGCATCACGCAATAAGTGCGGCCTCCTACTACCTGCCCCAGAGAAGTAAGACAAAATAGATTTGAAAGCAGAAGCCTTAAATGAGAAAGAAAGAACCCAAACAGGACTGACTAGCCGGTTTGTTAGCATAGTGAGCTGCCTTAATGAAAGTGCATCAGCAAAGCATCTTCGAATTGCCTCAAAACTTTTCTACCACTGCTTGAAAATATCAGTTATTTCCACGGCAATGTAACAGGGACATGGACCAGGACTTGATATTTATGAACCCATCGACGCTGGTGGAAGGACCACAGCAACTGCGGCCTTTTTTAGCTTCTGGTCGGCAGCATAGAGCAGCGAACGTCTGAAAGGATCAGCAAGTGCGATTGAGACTTCTCATTCACCTCTATCACCAGTTATCCCGTTGACCATCAACAGTTCGAACAGGCGGCAGTGGACACTCTTACATCGACGAACCCGAAACGCACTTTCTCTCACGGGGAGCCGAACCCATCCCAATTTGAGAGCGAATGTACCTTACAAATGTCTGATGAAGCGTTTAGGTGTCACTGTTGAAGATGGATCAGTTCTTTCTTCTCCTTGTCGGATCCAGTGATGCTTTCGCAGTCGCTCCTTGCTCCTGTTCAAGAGTATTCTACGCTCCTCCGATAAAACTAGCTTACTCGCCCCTCTCTCGTCCCCGCTCTGCACGTGTTTACGGTCAGCTGCCATGCCATGCTATGCTACGGAGTGCGCTGAAAGATTCCTTGTATAGAAGAGGGTGTTATGAAATGGTCATTTCTCCTATCGGTTCCCTAAGAGATTGGAGAGGACTCTCATACTTCTAACGTTCTCCTATCGGTTCCCTAAGAGGTTGAGGCTCTCATACTTCTACAAAGGGGCGTGTGAAGGAAAGTGGAATGAAGCGCAGCCAAGGCATCTTTCCTGTCAATCGGTGTGTGCCCGGGATGTCATCATCTTAGGAAAGGTTTACGGACAACTTGAACTCAATCCCTTTGAACGCGTCGGTTCTCTCTTTTTCCCGGCACTCTCTCATGGCACCCTATGGCCGTTGTGACTTCGCACATTCCAGCTTTTCACCGATTATAGGTAGCTCACCCACCCGGAGTCCCCTCCCTTGCCAAAGCCCGTTTCCTGGCTCGCCATATGTTTCTTGTTCCGATGCTTTGGCAGCCGCTGTTCTCCATCCGTCTGCGTTACAGGGTTCGTAACAGGACCATGCACAGTAATTCAAGATGTCACGTAACCATTAGGAGAGGCGGCAGCGGCTTCGCTTCAATCCACCGGCTTCGCTTCAATCCACAGCCTTTCACCCGCCCTATTGTTTGCAGGGATCATGACTGTACAGTCCTCATCATTGCGGACCGGTGGGGCGTGTCAGCCAGTATGAGTGTGCACACTGTTGAAGCCGTTCTCAGCCTTTTTGTTGAAACGCGTATGCGACAAAAAGTGGTAGAAAACGAGTAATACGAAGGATATAATACAGTAATGTCACTTCAACAACTGGTGCAGAACGACTTTGGCACCGCGCCAAACGCAGCCGCACTGACACGCCCCACCGGTCCGCAATGATGAGGACTGTACATACACATGAAGATGCATAACACACAGACAAACCGACACACAAAAGTTAGTGGACTACAATGGCAAGTCAAGAAGAAGTAGGGTTTTTGGCTTGGTTTGGAACGGGTAAAAATAGTGTTGGAGTTGCCAAAATTTCAGTAACTGAACCGAAAAAACGTTTTGAGCAGCAGTGTCTCTTTTGTAGTTTGTCGATTCCATTTTCTGTCCTGTATGACGACGGGAAATGAAGAGAAACCATTTACAACGATGACTTTCATAGAACGGCTTTGACTGAAAACCACCTAATCTTTAAACACCGTCGTCACATGCGATCACGCTTAGCAGGCCACGTTAGACCGCAAGATTCACACACATATGTATGTATCACAGTCATTAAACCCATACCCTATCAATAAATGCTGGAGTTCAGCAAAGCTTTTCTGTGGACCACAGTTTCTCTGTGGACTACTACCCGTGAAGGCAAGTTACGAGCCTAAGAAAAAAATTTCTTTCCGGTTTTCAGAGGAGGAATTCAATGGAAAATCGGCCTAGTTGTTTAGAATTAGCGCAGGTAAAAAAAGTGCCAAGAATATTTTCATTTGGTGACCTTTCCGGGTGCATCCTCCTTGGGATCTGCATACTCTTGAAGCGTTGCCGACTGTATAAAAGCGTCATTATTCCCTGGGAAGGTTTTTTCAAATATGAGTGCACGGCTATATGACTCGTAAAGAGGTGATTCTGACAATGTAAGGCATTCTAAGAACAAACTGAGCAGCAGCGCTATAAAAAACCCAAAGGAACCGGGAATCAATTTTTTTGGGTTCTGTTTCGAAAACGAAGGTGGGTAGAGTAGCTTTCACCCCAGCTGAATTTCCAGGGGATTCAGTATGACACAACTGTGTCACTAATCTTATTCCCTTTCTCTTTTTCTCTTTGTACGAAGTGGACGTTTCTGAGAATACACTAAAACGTGCTTAACTACCAATCATTTAGCTCTCATGCGTGGTCCGTAGATAAGGTTGTCAAATGGAACGCGACGACGAGGTTTAATTGAGCAATCAGTACGGCGAAATTTGTGCTCATACATTTCGTTTCCTTTGCCCACTTTTTCAGTAACTGCAAAGGGAACGATAGTCTGAAGTCAAATTTCGGCTTCTTCCATTTTGGTTTCAGGGACGGATTCAAGCGGTTTTTATATTCAGTTTTATTCTAACAAACTTTGTTCCTTTATAATTTCTCCCTTGACGTCTACGTACTGGTCTGTAGGAATTTCGCTGTAAACTCACCAAATCATCCGATTTTCCTGTTCCCTAACCAGGCCAGTTCGTAGAGTCTATTCACGTTTTTTTCCCAACAGGTGTGGTTGTGGAAGTTATTTTTTGGCGGTGGTAATGGTGTTTCAGTTGTACAGAAATACATCCTGTGTTTCAATTTAGCGGCTACTTTTCGACAACTCAGTAATCGAAGATAATTTTAGTGCTTTCGCTTGGTCCATAAATGAAAAGGATGAATTGCATAGCGAATCCGGATACATCTCCGTCAAGCCGAATACCAAGGAAGCGGCTCTAACAACCGTCATGAACAATGGTATGTGCACTCACTGAAACCTTCAATTATTCTCATGATTTTGATTCATGCAAATGACATTGGTCTCGAGCGAACTAAGGCGATCGTCATATGTGGCGATGCTTCTTTGAGGGAAGGGGGGGGGGGTCAACACCCAGAATAGTTTCTATTAGGTCATCCCATTCAAAAGTGCCGACGGTTTTATTCGAATAAAACAAAGGGGAGAATAGATAAAAAGTAATATTTTGGCTTCAAGTTAAGTAAACCCCTCCTTCACCAATGACCCGCTCCCAGGGTCCCTAAAGCGTTTGGACCTCTGGTACCTTCGATTTTTCAACAAGTGCGAGTAAATTGCTGTTGATGCCAATTTCGGCGAATGACAAAACATTGTAGCGTTTGCCGTCGGAGAGTACCTCGACTGACCAGAACAGTTGGAATCGAACGGCTTTATGCTGGGCGAATGGGGCAATTGAACCCAGGTCTCAGTATTGCTTGTGTCCCAGCACTGCCCCACAGTAAGTTACTCGGGGTCTGGCACTATGAACGAGCAACGATGGCCTTGTAGTTGTGTGGTAACATCCATTTGTCGATCTGACTGCTCAGGAACAATACAAGCAAGCAATACAAGCAATATACACCAACAGCGACGATTTTGTTCCCTGTATAGAGCCGCTTGAAAGGCCCACAAATGTGGTAATGGCCTTCCGGCTTAAACCCACTTGCGCCCACGTAACTCTTCATGGTAGAACTCGGGCGGCTTCTCATCTGCATTCATACAAAATTGACGATTGTGAGTTTTGGCTCGAGGTCCGAGACCACCCATATTTCATCAAGGCCAGGGTGCGTTTTCACAGTCGTGAATGACATCTCATGAACATTACTGCTAGAGGCATAGAATTGGTACTGCGTTCGTGCTTCTACAAGAAAATTGGGTACCCATTGTGAGTGCGCACACCTCTTGACCATCCTCAGTTTATCGTACATAACAGCAGCAGGTGCAGCAGGGAGGTCAGCCTCGCGGGGAAGCTCGACAAAGGTCCAGGCTCTGTGATCAGACATTCAGCGCTTGACTTCATCCACCCTTTTTTCTTGTGCAGGATGAACATTATGGGACCATCCACGACAACAAATTTTTTCCTTTCTTCCTTCTTCGGGCTCCTGAACCAAACCTTCCACCTTGTATTTCGAGAACACCATTACACACAACTACTGGTCCGGCGCAGGTCAAATTTGAGCAGCGCACTTTCCTCTTATGACGCCTGATTTGAAAATCCGGTAGTTTTTCACCACTCAGGCTTCTTCTCAACAGATACACAAGGTGCTAAAGGCTAGCCTCCAAATGGTATAGTAGCCCGCTGCCTCTATCCCCTTTGCTTTTCTGCCATTCCTCTATATGTGCGGCACTTTTGAATGGGATGACCTAATAATACCGAATTGTCCTGTTACCCCTCGGGAAGTTTAACTGGATAGTTGGACATGTCATCCATTACGAGTAATCTCGTTTTCTTTGGGTTTATTAGCAGTTCTGCCCCGTAGTGAGCCACAGGATTAGCAAAGGAATTGGGTCTTGGGTCAAATACGAGCGGTGTTCTCGGAAGTATGGAACGAAAAGGCAGAGAATTCTAGTACTGTAGAAATTCTTCTGTGGAAACTCTTCGCGAGGTTGATACAGCAGTTTATTCGGCTTACGCACGTTTCGGCGAGACCGCCTTCATCAGAGCCTGAAAGGACCGAAACGATTTGCGACTATCCGATCAAATGTCTCTGCAGCCTACTGAAGTTCGACCCTAGACAGGTCATCCATCACCCAATCACGGGGAAGAAGAGCACTTACCGTAATCCAGTCCGATCCCAGAGACCAATAGGAAGGTGGCAGCTGAAGCTGATCGGACTGCTCTGCATTCAGAGCCCCTCATGGAAGGCCACCCTTATATAGGGCCTTAGTTCCCGCGTAATAGTGAGGCATTCTTCCCTCCGGTTCATCTTTGGATCGATGACCTGGATCCAGAATGCCTCAAGGGTATTTCGCGCGGAGTTTTGCGTAAGTAAATGAGTTTTCATACAGAGGAGCAATTTCTACAGTATGTACTACAACGATGCCGAGGTTTATTGAGAGCCGTACTTGGCGAGAGAATTCTAAATACGACTTATTTTTCGATGTAGTCCTTCATTACCTCAATTCACTTGTTTGCTCGGGAAACTAACAACTAAAAAACTTTCCGATACCTTCGAAAATATTTTTCCTCCTTGTTTCCAAAATGTGCGTTAATTGCCACCGTCAGATGTTCATCGACAGAAAAACGCTTTTCACGAAAATCTTTTTAGGTTGGGGAGAATAAGTTATTTGAAAAGATTAAGTTTTCACCTTTTGTGTTTGATCAATCCCTTTGTGGGATGCGGCACGCATTCTACTTCCATTCAATCACTAGTGGCTTATTGAATGCGATGTGCCTATACAATGACTTGCGGGGGCCAGCCGATGTACAAATTAGTGTTCTTAGCCCTTTGCCGACGCGATCTTGGTTAACCAATTTACCGTCCCCGCGGGGTGTTGAAAGCTTGGTTAGCCTAGGCGGAGTCGGACCTGATTTTTGACGTGGGATTTGAACCCAGGAACGCGCGGGTGGTGGCGCGCCACTTGTCTCTACACTACTTCCTGCCCTAGTAATCACCAATCCCTTTCTCAATTTTCTTTTCATTTTTCTGAATTTTTTAATCAGCAATCACTTCCTCAACATTGTCGCATCAGTCATTCTGGTCTTCTTTCACCAAGGATAATTAGGATAGCGTTGATGATAAGTAAGGAAATTCTGTAGTTATTATGGTTCTATTTTGTTTCTTTTTTTATTTGGTTTTTTCATGGGAAATTCTCGGATTGGACTTCCGCCCAGGTCAACCAAGACTTTCACCCTAAGAAAGACGGTGAATTGCGCTACCAGATTCGCCTGCAGTAATAACACTACTTGGTAAATCGGCTCATGACCCGCAAGTCATTGTATAGGCCACATCGCATTCAGTGGAACCACTACGATTCTGAATGCAAGTAGAATGCGTGCCGCATCCCACAAAGGGTCTGATCAACGGCGAATGCTTTATCCTTTTATTATTAATTCCCTCAAGGGTCATTTGCCATTGAGATACATAACGTTACCTTCGTTCACTGCTAAACCCCAGGATTACCAACAAACTATGAAACAGCCCCTGTATGTTCACAAGAGTAGACAAGCATCTCTTCTCCTTTAGGTAACTAGCGCCCAAATTAGCGCCCAATCATGCAGGAATAACCATGATGTAATTATTCCAGCGTTATAATTCTATAACTTTACGAGTTCGGTTCTCTCTCCCACTCAAAACCGATAAAGTCTGTATTGACATTATTTGAGCGCCTTTCATTCTAATATTCATCCTGACTTTTGCAGTAATTTCAAAAGTTATAGAGAAAATGTGTGTCTAGATTTTGCGATAATACCGTGCACTAGAATTCGAGTCTGTGTACTGGGCTATCCCATTCAAAGCCTCAGCACCATTTTTCAAAACCTTTACTAATTCGTCTTTCCCCGATGTTGAATTCCGAAAGTTCGCTCGAAAGACTCGAAAAGTGAATTACTAGAAGAAGTATGCGAGTGGTTTGGATGACGTAACACTTTTTGAGTTTTCAGGATTTGTGACAGTTGAAGAGGGTCCAATTAAAGGATCACAAATCAAATTTCAATTGAAGGACGTCGGACGAATCAGTTTCAGCCGTGATTTGCCAGTTCATGACGTGAGTCGTACACTTATAACAAAAACATTATTGCACCCCTGATTGCTCTTCCCCCCTCATTTCCGTTGTGCTCGCGATGAGATTTCAAGGCGGCAAGCGTCGGGCAGCAGGAGAATTGTGGACGTTATACAATTGGGTAGTCCCCACTGCACCTCGGCTTCCCCACTGAAAGAGTCCAATGTCCATTGATGGGCACGCTTGGCAAACTCTCCACACAGAAACGATGTCAGAAATAACATCTCTCCCTTCTAAGCAGGTCATTGGAATGTGTACTTCAGGTCCTATTTCGCTTATGGCTCCAGAGCCTCACAGAATTTTTTTTAGAAGCTGACGAGCCTTATTTCGCTGCTCTGGCTACAAGATATGGAACACTGCTTTCAGCACTGACAAAACTGTTGCTCACCACCATTTCACCAAACTTGATATCTTGCATACAAATCTATAAATCTTGCATGCAGGGTTGATTTGGCGTCCTTCGATACTGAAGAAAAGCTTCCTGCTCGTACGTGCTTTTCAGATGTTGTAAGTGAACAATAGAGTGACCCGTATTCAAAAGATTGCACTCAGTTGCCTCACTCGGGTGTGGTGTGCCTTACTTTCCAGTCACCATATCGCGTGTGGCAGTGTATTTCCTAGCTAGATGACTAGACAGGCACAGAGAGAGCCTGTCGACGTGAGAAATGCAGTCCCATAGAGGGTTGAGAGAGCTGACGTGCCGCAACATTCCAGCTTTGATCCCAGTGCATTGGGCTGCGTTCATGCTTTGCGGTAGTGACCACCAGCGAACAATAACGTCTGCCAGCATTCTAGAGTCGCCGCGTCTAACGGGACAGCAGCGTCAGGGAGTGGAAGGTATGGGGCGCATAGGAGTGTAGCCAGGACAGCGGTATCCTTTATCGCCCACACTCTCCGCCAGTGTCTGCATGTTTCGCTGCGTGCGGTGTTTGACGCTGTGGCGGACGCTGCCAAAGTATGAACGCATCCTCACTGCTCATGTCAATTTGCTTGCAATGTCTATTTCGTAGCATTTGCCGCAATAGCCATTGCGCACAGGCAGTACATGGGCCAAAATTTTTAGCGAAGCATAACACTTTCATGAGCAGCTTGTCCTTAATGTGGTCATGCACTGATCACGTGGAGTTTTCCCTCACTGGCTTTTGAATTTTTGAGGAAATTCAGTAAAGCAAAGACAGTTGCCATTTGGTGTAGATGCCCAAGCAGCTCACTGCCCATTTCTAAAGTGCAGATGGAGGATCCTCCGCAATTTTTACGAGAAGCGGAAAGCATGGCTCTCGCCGAAGAGTTAGCCTGCTCCAGGCCTCTTGTCCCTCCTACTTCTGTCTGATTAGTCGCTAGTTCCAGCAATTCCGTCTGCAGACCGTCCATCAAATGGTTCTAGGAAAACTAGCTTTAGAATGCGTTCCCTTCTTGCCAATTTACCCTTTGCAATTTCAGCTCGTCAGGGAATGGACGCTGTTGGACAAGAACACGTTGCAAGCTCGACTGAATATGGAGACGTTGACGCATGGCATGCAAGAACATACATTTATTCGATATCACAAAATTGCTCCTTAGATCTGATTCACTAACTCACTGATTGATTGATTCGAAAATTATAATAATGATAAAAATTTATCCGTAATTCATCTCTATCTATGTAGCACTGGACGTACATAAAGGACATGCGGTAGAGCTTGTATACAATTCGTGGATATTGGGATCCGAAACATTGATACGTACATGAGCCATTCAATCTGAGAGAGATTGAGAGAAAAAACTGGTCAAAATTGTCGATGGCTTTCTGAAGAAGTCTCCAGGATTGGACGAGTAGTTGAACTAGCGAGATACTATTGTGCGGATGAGAGACTAGAGACAACCATGATAGACATGGTTGTGTGATAGGTGTCGGTTCGGTCCTGCACATAATGAACTCAACGAAATATGTCTTATTGTAATGATGTGGAAAGAGAGCACATTTTATCTAGTTGTTAGGTGAATCATTTTCACGCGAAAGCGATTCACGGAACAGTATGACTCCTTGTAGATTTTGAATGTTCAGAGCTCTTGTAACAGCCCACCATCATAGTACCGGCTTCATTTTACATTAGCTCCAATTTTGTATGCTCGCGGAGTATCAAACTTCTTTTTCCAACGCTCAAACAGTTAGTTTGTCTGAGTGCCTAAGGATGAGGTCGAAAACTCTACAGACTTAGAAAGTTAACCGTTTATGCTGGCAAGGAACTAGTGATAATACTGTGCGAGTAAACATGAACCGCGCAATGCACTCGGAAATGTAGCAGTTATTCTGCTGAAATATTCTTCTTACTGTACATTCACTGCTTATCCCTGAGTCCGTGCAGGACGTTGGCAATTTTGAACATGCCCAGCCACGGTTTATCTCGTGCGAATATTTCAGGGGATATTTCATTTGAAAACTGTCATTTTGTTCCGCGTTCAACAAACAGGCATACCAAATTGTGTAAAAACGAAAACATTTCTCCAAACAGCTATGGCCGCGTTCAGCTGCGCATCCATGCCTACACATCTCGGGATCTCGAAGTGTAAGCGGCTACGTCTGCCCGTGTCCGTCCGGAAATCCGGCATCACCTGAAGAACCAGTTTGAGGGCAAGGGTAGGTTGAGTAGGGAGAACATAGGCCAGTACGGAACGGAACACATATGAAATGGGCTTAGTCCCGCCCACAGTGGGCGAGGCGTGCGCCCAACCAGAGGGCATTTATTTTATTTCGAAACCTCATATCTCTGTTCTTTTTCCGCTCTATCAGTAACACGGAGAGCGAAAAAGAGGGAGCAACCGGAAATATGCAACACTCGTGAAAGGAGGGACATACCACACTTTGGGTGGCCATTTGAGCTGCCGCTTGCTACAAAAATTTGAAAAATTCTTGACTCGCTTTCACATAAGCCCGGCAAGAGTGAAAAGTAGGAAACGAGAGCAAATAAGCTGGCAGACGGGAGGCCCACCTGCAGTGGGCGTTGCTTAGATCAAACTATTACTTCCTCTACCAATTGCTTAAGTACTACTTACCGCCTCTTTCCTGAGCCAGAGTAGGCGTGGCATTCGAACATGGCACGGAAATGGTTACCTCGTGGAATATTCCAGTCTGGGACAACTGTCATCTTGTTCTGAGTTGGACAGAGACAACGACAACAATTGTGTCAAGATGAAAATATCTCACCAGAAGCTAAACACCTCCAGGTGTTACTAAAGCTGGAAACATGCGGCCACGCTACCGATCTCAGGGATTCCGGTACTACATCTGGACACGCGCTCACTGCTCTCATTGTCAGGGATCTATGTACAAGTTTCAGATAATTGGAGTCCTCTCAATGAGGTGTACTGTACTGACTTCTTGAAGGTGCCTTGTATGACCAAAGGGGCATGCTAGTGAGTGGTTATGCGCCTCTTCTTTCGTAGCAACCCTTATCACCACAAAAGAACCTTATTTGATCCTGTGTGCCTGACGCCGTACACGATGGCTGTGTGTGCCAGTGTAGCAAGTTTTTTTTCTTTTGAAAGGGCACGAAATCAATGGTTTTCTTTCAGTCTGCCAACAGTATCACCAAGTGACATTGCAAGCCCGCAAAAACCGTCTCGTATAATTGTTTGAAGGGCTTCCTTAGCTTTTCATCATTCATCAAACGTTGCACACGGAACACGCTTCATCCAGCTTTGACGACCTTTACGAGATCTTCTGATGATAACCTTGATCCTCTGACTTCTAGCATCCAGTTTCCTGAAATAAAATTTCGAATCAAAACATCGTTTTTAGCACTTAAAAGTAAACTCACTCCCATCTCCAAGGGCGGCCTTTGGCATCTGCGTACCTTTCCGCCTCGCACATAGCAAAGACAATAGGGGTTCTGGGGGTTAGTGGTGTACACTTTGTCCTCCAATGTTCCGGAACATTGACTTCCCTAAACACGCAGGAGTGAAACACATGCGAGCCACACAAAAGTAATCAAACTACTATAATCAGACCACATCGTATGTACAGTCCTCATCATTGCGGACCGGTGGGGCTCGTGTCAGCCACTATGAGTGTGCACACTGAGGAGGATATAATACAGTCATATCATTTGCTCGCTTTAAATACTGGTGGAGAGCGGGTTTGGCACCGCGCCAAACGCAGCCGCACTGAACCGAATGATGACAGTACGTTTACGTTGTGCGAAAACTCGCGGGGCGGGGCGCGATTGGCTCGCTGGAAGGGTGATCGTATTTAGCTTTAGAAAACTTTTTAATAGTTGATTTTTCTTGTTTTGCGGATCCTATAAATGGGAGGGGTCGTATTTGTTCGTTGTTGGGAAAGGGAGTATTATTTGCCTTAAAGAAATTTGCAGCGTTTGAACCACCCCTTAGTTGGTGGCGTTCAAACGTTCTGTGCAACTACTATTCTACTATTTCTGCGCCGTTTGAAAACTAGTGGTTGGTTGATGACGGCCTCCGCACGCCTCTCTCACTCCCCCTCTCCGCTCGACAGCAAAATTTTGGATAAAAAATGTAGAATTCCCGGGAAATTCCGGAAAAACTGGAAGAGAGGTAGGGAGCTGAGAAACTTTAGCAAAGTGATTGGTTAGGATGGGTAAGGGGGATGTCCTATCAATAGGAAGAGGTCGATTTTCCGGAACAGTTCCAGCAGCATAACTAGGACATAGGGCAGAACGAACCAACGAGTCGATGCTACCCAGTCACGCCATATAGGTTTTGCCTTACCACTTTGGCTCCAATATTAGCTGCGAAGTCATTACCAGTACCAGTGTGGTCTGAAAGTGCATCGAACAAGGCCCACAATCGCTGATTTTTTGGAAAAGTATCCCTCAATGTCACCGGTCGTATCTTCCTAGTATGACTCTCTTTAGAAACACCTTTAAAAAATTTTTCATTGGGTGGGAATCTGAGATCAACCATCGGAATAAGTAACTTTCCTGCGCTGCCATCGAAATTTACGGGAGATATATGCGTCATTAGCCAGAATTCCTGGACTAGCTAGATCCTCTCCGGCCTAGACAATGTAACGCCATTCACGTCGCATCCCCGATGACGCTTTTGCTTTTACCTACAATACAATGCTGGATTGATTTCGTTGGTGGTTCTTGTACTTCTGCTTACTATCAGCCCATACTGTTGAACTACTTGCTCACAGCTGAAAAACGTGGGCTGGGGACTCAACGACTGTGACGTGGTGCACTCTGACTTCAGCAGCGCGAAAATCAATAAAAGCACTCATCGGCCTTTTTTTGCGCGATTCTATGGAGCTATTTTGCTTCAATAGCATATCATGGCCCCGCATTTGGTCCATTTGTTGTCAAGCACACAGATAACATTTAACGAGCCTAAGCACAGTTTAAAGAGGAATGGACGTGAGTCCTCCATGGCGTTCCCCCAACCGCACCGCACAGCCGCTAAAGCACCGAAACGCAATTTAGTGTGCGGTGTAGTGTAGTTCTACGGTGCGGTTGTACACGCTGCAACTTCGGGACGTCTAATCCAGCTGTTTGCCTCCCCTCCTACTTCCCATACTCTCTCTAGCGGTTCATCCGGTTAGCTGCTGTGGAATAAAACGCTGGTGGACGCTGATATACGCTGCCTAGACGCTTACTGTTTCTCATTGGCTGACGCTTGCCGCTGATAGTCGGACGCTACTGACCGTGTCCGTAGACGCCGAATGGACGTCTAGCCGCCATGTATCTAGTCCTGCCTAAAGGCAAGCAGAGAAACTCATTCTTCTTCCTGATCTCGCACCCCAATATTGGAATCCCACTTATCCACGATAGATGTGACGTTGGCAGAGAGATTCTTTGCCTTTATGGAATATTACTGACACTGTAAACTTCATGAGTTCTCGCAAAATGCATCAAATATTTTGATAACGAAGGGCTCGTCACTTATGCTTTGAACCCAAAGCCAAGCAGGCTGCTGACTGAATCGCTGACTGCGTTTCCGGACATTCATAAATATTGAACACTCACCCTCGACAATGTGATGACTCGAGTGCCACAAAAACCCGTGTAGTTAGAAAAAGTGAAACCTGGAGAGTGAGGTGGGTTGTGCGAGCGGGGCACATAGTTGTTAGGATTCCTCAACAGGATGGCATATTTGGTTGGTGCTGACGGGAGCGGGAGCGGGGGTCGTACTTGGGCTGAGAAAAACATTTTTCGAAAGTTTCTTTTCTTTGATTCAAGAGCGTTGTAAAGGGGTGAGAGTCGTATTTGCTTGCTGTTGAGGGAAGGAGGGGTCGTATTCCATCTGACTTCTAGCAAAGTTGTATGTCAGCGGTTTTGCCTTTATTCGTACTATCATAGCCTTCCCCCTTTGGCCAGGGCACATCGATTGGTTGGAATCCCCAACAGGGGGGGTCGTGTATTTTGTCGCCAGGAGACGGGGGGGCGTAATGAGTGCGGTAGCCGGAGCAGCGCAAAGGTGTCAGTGTGCTGAGTTCCTGTACAGCGAAATTTGCTTTGTAGAGAACTCGGATATGTAAAAAAATAGTACAAAACTTTCACTCATCAAACTAATCCGAAATAACTGGAAATATCAATAAGTCGACATCA